CGCTCACACAGCTGCTGCTTCTTGGACAGGTCGGACTCTCGCATGGTTGCTTTTCCTTGGACAGTTTTAGGCTGCTCATGGGGCTGATGCTCCCTGGACAAGAGCATGCCACTCACGTGTCTGCTGCTCACGTGGTTGAAAAAATAATGTGAAAAGAAGTAGGAAATAAAGGAACAAACAAAAAATGGAGAACAAAGAAAAAAGCAAAAAAAAAGAGCACCAAACCAAAAAAAAAAAAAAAAGGAAAACAAAGAAAAAAGCAAAAAAAAAAAGAACTAACAAAATAATAATGAAAAATGAAAAATTGAAATGTCATTCCTTTGGCTGGCTTAAGATCCCAGTTTTTTGGAATGTCTGTGATTTTGTTGTTGTTTGAAAACACGATAATTTCAAGAGAAACATCAAAAGTGCTTTATTCAAAGTAATGTCCATCACTAGCTACACATTTCCCCCATTTTTCAGGTAATTTGTGGATACCGTCCCAATAGAACTTCTCTTTTTTGAGGCAAACCATTCAGAGACCCAATTTTCCACTTATTCGTATGTTTTGAAGTGCTGCTCAGAAAGTGTGTGTGCCATCGATCAGAACAAGTGGTAATCTGAAGGAGCAAGGTCTGGTGAATACAGCGGGTGGATTAATACTTCCCAGGAAAGATCTTTTAATGTGTCTTTAACTGGTTTTGAAGTGTGTGATGGTATGTTATCATGAAGCTAAATTATTTTGCCGTGTCTTCTGGCCCATTCTTGTCATTTCACGATCAAAGTGTGGATCAAATTGTTGTTTGTTGTTGGTAGCGACCAGTATTAATGATTTCACCTGGTTTTAGAAGCTCATAATACACCACACCTTCCTGATCCCACCAAATGCAGAACGTTGTCTTCTTTCCGAAGCGATTTGGCCTTGCAGTATATGTTGATGGTTGACCTGGATCAACCCATGATTTTGTGCATTTGGGATTCTCAAAATAAATCCACTTTTCATCGCCAGTCACAATTGGATGCAAAAAAAAGACTTTCTTTCCTGCTGTTGAAGCAACATTTTACTGATGACTTTTCGGTTTTCCATTTGTCTTTTGTTCAGTTGATGTGGCACCTATTTTCCTTCCTTTAAAATCTTTCCCATTGCTTGTAAACAATCGGAAATTGTTTGCTGAGCAACGTTTAATCTTTCTGCAAGTTGTTTTTGAGTTTGACATGCATCTTCATCCAATAATGCTTGTAATTGTTGGTCTTCAAACTTTTTCAGTTGACCTGGACGTTCTTTGTCTTTCACATCGAAATCATCACTTTTAAAGCATTTAAAACAGCATTCACAAGTATCTTGAGATGGAGCATGTTCACCATAAGCTTCCTGAAGTATATGATAACTTTTTCTTCAAAACAAAGTAATGAATTAAAAATTCCTGCAATGCTCTTTTTTTAGCATGAAATTCAACATTTTTTCCCCTCTAGAATTATTTTATTAAATCATAAATGTATAACAGCTTCTTAACTCTACACTCACACTTAAATTTTTTTAAAGGAAAAACGTTATGTCTTATTACACCATGATGCTGGCTAATAGCTTTTCAAAACTTTGAGAAAAATCTTAAAAAAGGTTTCACATGTCACCTGAAACTTACAAATTTAACATTATCAAAGAAGGAATGCTTCTACACTCTTACAAAGACCACTAGAAATAAACAACAATTAAAAAGCTAAGAAACTGTCTCAAAGGCATTTTTTTTACAATCCTTCCTCCACAGTAAGGTAATGTTATTAAATAATCCAATCCATTCACAAAATGGCTCTCTGCATCTGCTCTGGTGTCTTCTGCCATATCACTGCATACTTATGCATGACTGAGACAAAAGTTTCCTTAACATTGTTATTTGATAACCTGAAGCTGTTCTGTTACCTCTGGGCTCTCATCCTCTCCTATTTATACAGTGAAGCCCATGGCAAATAGGAAGAAGCTCAATATCGGCTTCTCCCTCCATAGCCCCCACTTCCTCCACTTCCTCCAGGACCATAGTTTCCTCCACCATATGGTCCCCCCATGTTCCTGCTACCACCAAAATCTCCACTCTTCATTGGACCATAGTTAGATGGTTGCTGGTTATAATTTCCAAAATCATTGTAATTTCCACTTCCGTAATTTCCTCCTCCATAGCTGTCATAACCACCTCCGTAGCCCCCACCCTGGTTGCCATATCCAGGTCCTCCACCACCATATCTTCCTCTTCCTCCTCCATAACCAGGGCTACCTCCAAAATTGCCACCTCCAGGCCCTCCTCCATACCCATTATAGCCATCCCCAAATCCACGACCACTTCCATAGCCATCAGATCCTCCTCTAAAGTTACTTCCTGGTCCTGGTCCAAAATTTCCACCACCACCTCGAGGTTCTCCAAAACCAAAGCTGCCTCCTCTTCCACTTGTAGAACTTTGAACTTCCTGCATTTCTTGTCTAGACAAAGCCTTTCTTACTTCTGCATTATGACCATTGATGGTATGGTATTTCTGCAACACAATCTTATCCACAGGGTCATGGTCATCAAAAGTAACAAATCCAAAGCCTCGCTTCTTTCCAGACTGCCTATCAGTAATGATCTCAATGGTATCAATTTTTCCATATTCTTCAAAGTAGTCTCTAAGATGATGTTCCTCAGTATCTTCTTTAATTCCACCAACAAACAGCTTCTTCACCGTTACATGAGCCCCTGGCTTTCCCGATTCCTCTCTTGCAACAGCACGTTTTGGCTCAACCACTCTTCCATCAATTGAATGAGGTCTTGCAGCCATGGCGGCATCAACCTCAGCCATGGATGAAAAAGTTACAAAACCAAATCCTCTTGATCTTTTGCTTGCAGGATCTCTCATTACCACACAGTCTGTAAGTTTCCCCCATTGCTCATAGTAGTTCCTCAAACTTTCTTCTGTGGTTCCAAAGCTCAAGCCACCAATAAAGAGTTTACGGAACTGTTCCTTTTCTCTCTCCATCGCGGACTCAGTCGCTTCAGCCCGATTTCCCGCAGCGGAGCGGGATGAGAGAGATCTCCCCGGTCGCATGCGAACCCGACTCATCCTGGCGCTGTAGTGAGAACTGCCGCCGCTGGAGAAACAAGGCGAGAGGCACGTCCGCACGCTGAGCCGGCGCCGCTGCTAATGCCACTCCAGCCGCGGTCGCCACTTTTCTAGAACCTTCCCTCCCACCGACGCGTCCCTCAGTCAGGGCGCTGCGTGAACGCCCTAACTGCCGCCAATGGCGGGAACCCTCCAGGCCCTCCTTAAGCCGAAGGTGTACTCCGCCCTCCTCCCCGCCCTGGGGAGCGCTGGGCGTCCCGGGCGTAAGCCGGCTCCGTGAATTGCGGGAGGCTCGCGGCGGCGCAGTCCGCTCGCTGGGAACCGGGTTCAGGCCCCGCCTGAGCGCAGGGCAGGTGAGAAATGGTCGCGCCCTTGGAGACTAAAGCTGTCGGGTGGCGCTGGATCCACAGCCCAGAGGCCCCCTCCCTCAGCACAGCCTTGGGACAGTGCTCCCTCCTGGCCT